GGGCTGCTGCTGCAGGCCCGGCAGCGGCAACTGCTGCAGGTAGAGCGGCGGCTGCTGCTGTAGGCTCTGGCGGCGGCTGCTGCTGCAGGCTCTGGCGGCGGCTGCTGCTGCAGGCTCGGTGGCGGCAGCTGCTGCTGCAGGCCTGGCGGCGGCTGCTGCTGCAGGGCGGCGGCGGCTGCTGCTGCAGAGCGGCGGCGGCTGCTGCTGCTGGTAGAGCGGCGGCTGCTGCTGCAGGCTCTGGTGGCAGCTGCTGTTGCAGACTCTGGCGGCGGCTGCTGCTGCAGGCTCTGGCGGCGGCTGCTGCTGCAGGCCTGGCGGCGGCTGCTGCTGCAGGGCGGCGGCGGCTGCTGCTGCAGAGCGGCGGCGGCTGCTGCTGCTGGTAGAGCGGCGGCTGCTGCTGCAGGCTCTGGTGGCAGCTGCTGCTGCAGACTCTGGCGGCGGCTGCTGCTGCAGGCTCTGGCGGCGGCTGCTGCTGCAGGCCTGGCGGCGGCTGCTGCTGCAGGGCGGCGGCGGCTGCTGCTGCAGAGCGGCGGCGGCTGCTGCTGCTGGTAGAGCGGCGGTTGCTGATGCAGGTTCGGCGGCGGCAGCTGCTGCAGGGTCGGCGGCGGCCGCTGCTGCAAGTCTGGCGGCGGCTGCTGCTGCAGGCTCGGCGGCGGCAGCTGCTGCAGGTCGGCGGCGGCTGCTGCTGCAGGCTCGGCGGCGGCCGTTGATGCAGGATCGGCGGCGGCAGCTGCTGCAGGGTCGGCGGCGGCCGCTGCTGCAAGTCCGGCGGGGGGGAGCAGCGGGCGGGCCCCCTGAAGGCGCCGCGACGTGGGGAGCAGCGGGCGGGCCCCCTGAAGGCGCCGCGACGAGCAGGAGAGACGCCCCGCGGGTCCCGCACTGACGTCGCGACGAGCAGGGCGACACCACGCGGGTCCCGCACGGGCGTCGCGACGAGCAGGAGCAGCACCCAGGGGGCGCCGTGACGAGAAGGGGCGACGCCCCGCGGGTCCCGCACGGGCGTCGCGACGAGCAGGGCGACGCCGCGCGGGTCCCGCAGGGGCGTCGCGACGAGCAGGAGCAGCACCCAGGGGGGCGCCGCGACGAGAAGGGGCAACGCCCCGCGGGTCCCACAGGGGGCGCCGCGACGAGCAGCGGGGAGGGCAGCGCGCAGGCCCCCCCGAGGGCGCTTCGACGAACGGGAAAACCGCCGCGCGCCCCGAGCGCGCGGCGGGCAGAAAATGCAATGCCGCGCACCACGGGGCGCGCGGCGGATAGTACGACAGCGGAAGCATTTGGTGGGCCCGATGAACTAGGCGGCAGGATCTCGCCGGCTCTAGATACCATGTTAGAATACTAGGTAGTGGGGCCTAGGCTTAGTAGCCTAGGCCCACACTAGGAGGTAGGTGGGTGCGCTCTAGAACTAGGAGTTAGGGTTTACGAAGGAGAATTGGAATGAAGAATGATTTAGACTAGCAAGCAGCAGAACACACAAATAGCAAACCCTAAGGGGTTGTACTCACTATTGAGCACCCCACTGCAGGCTAGACAAATAACATTCTGACAAGGTCAACCCTAGCTATGGCTCCTCAGTATACCTACTATCTCGACACCAGAATGCCGATTTTAAGAGGGCTTATACGCGCCCACAGCTGTACCTTTCTGCCAGCGGGCGCGCGTGACCCAGCGGGCCCTGACTAAGTGACAAAATCGCCTCAGGCGCGCCTGAGACGAGATCGCCAATGGTGCGCCTGAGACGAAATTGCCTGTGGTGCGCTTGAGACGAAATCGCCAGCGCGCCCGAGACAAGATCGCCAGCTCCCCTGAGACGAAATCGCCAGCTCCCCTGAGAAGAAATCGCCAGCTCCCTTGAGACGAAATCGGTAGCTACCCGGAGACGAAATCGCCATAGGCACGCCTGACGACAAAAGCGCTAGTGGCGCGCCTGACGACGAAACCGCCAGTGGCGCGCCTGGCGACGAAATTGCCTGAAGGATTGCCACCAACGAGACTGACAACGAAATCGCCACCAACGCGACGGATGACGAAATTGCCACAGTCGAGCCTGACAGATTGCAAGGGCGCGCCTGCAAAAATCGTGGTGTGACAAGGCGAAAACGCCACGGACATGACGGGACGCCTCCGCTACATCAACCCCTGCAACTTCTACCGGCAATGCGGACGTGACGCCTGCACCGTTATTATCATTTTTTATTGCCACACGGGTATGTGTTTCCATTTCTTCAACTTGGTCAATAATTATATGTCTTCTCTGCTCTGGTTTTTTGGATTGTCGCGCGTTTCATTGATCACAGTTTGCAGGAATATCTGCGCACGGACGAGTGTCAACGCTTGGCACATCCCCGCGTCGTTTCCCAAGAGGGGAAGGGGACCGAGGGTCCCGGCTGGCCAGAGGGCCGTTCCCCATGGGGGGAAGGGGACCGAGGGTCCCGGCGGGCGAGAGGGCCGTTCCCCATGGGGGGAAGGGGACCGAGGGTCCCGGCGGGCCAGAGGGCCGTTCCCCATGGGGGGAAGGGGACCGAGGGTCCCGGCTGGCCAGAGGGCCGTTCCCCATGGGGGGAAGGGGACCGAGGGTCCCGGCTGGCCCGAGGGCCGTTCCCCATGGGGGGAAGGGGACCGAGGGTCCCGGCTGGCCAGAGGGCCGTTCCCCATGGGGGGAAGGGGACCGAGGGTCCCGGCTCGTGACATGCGGAGATAGAGAGAGAGAGAGACACGAGAGCTGGCACACGGGTCATTGCGCTAAGGAAGGAGTATATGCACATTGCGACAAGCTTGTGCTATGTAGAAAAAAGGGGACTTACCGTATGCCATCCTTGGCTGCCGGTATAATGCCTTTCAAAATCGTTTTTTGTCCGTACGTGTCCTTGTATGTGCCTTTGTATTTGATTGTTAAAAAATGCTCGAATTGGAAGTCTTGGTTACAAACCACCTTGAACATGGCTTGAGAAAAGATTGTTCTCGTCGAAATGAATCTACAACGGCTTTAAGGCCTTCATATGCTGCCCTCGACGCACACAAGGAACAGAGATACGGTACACCTGCTCTCACATTGAGTCCGAGGTTTGTGATCGCTTATTTCTGCCTTGTTGTGATGTTTCTGGAACTCCCACATTAGATGACCTACTCATGATTGATTCTAGGTGTGATGTATACATAGTACGCAGTTCTGTGAAAGTATCCTGGCTGGAACATTTATTCTTGTACGGGTTTTTATTGCTCAATCATACGGTACATACGATCATTTACCATCCGGCGAACTTCTCAAAGTCCCCAATGGTAATACAAAGCCATACCTCTGCGTTTACACTCCTCCTAATGCGGCTCTCGCGCCTCATGCACCCATCCCAAGCCATCCCGCCTGCTAATCCACTTGGTGATTTCATTATAACGATCGTATGCCAGTCACGAGGCTTCATTGGCAATCTTGGCCTCTCGTGTGCTCTCGCGGACAATCGCGAACGTGAAAAGCAGCTCTTGACAATAATTCTAGAGTAGTCGCTAACTCCGTCATACAAAAATCACTTGCATGCAATGTCGCTCTGTTATCCACACGTCAATCACGCGGCATCATCGGGAGACGTCAACATCCACGCCCTCGGCAGCTAACATCAACCACCAGTTTCAACCACACTCTTCTGCTGCGCCAACAACCAGGGACATCTACATAAATGGAACGAGCAACCGTCATACACAACATTCCGAAACCCACCGGCATGGCGATCGCATCGCAACCAACCAACGCCACCTCTCTCAGCAATTCGTCGAGGCCATCAACCTTAACAAGACTCAGCACGCCTTCACCGCTCCTAACTACACATGTCTCAGTAAACCCAACTGTAATGAAGCACGTTGCCATTGCAAGAGCAGAAAGCAAGCTTTCTCAATATGAAATTTTTTGAAAGTGTGTAACACTTTCTAAAAATGTGTATTGTGAAAGCGCAGCTTACTGTAGCGAAGCAAGGCAACGGCGAATTACTATTCGCCGAGTACATAACGAGGGTTGGAGGCCTTTTGGCCTCCACCCACGTCTTCATTTCGGAACTTTGCAGTTCCATCCCCCACCCACCCACCCTAGTCGTATCTTTGTATAATCTATAGTTAGGTTGGACGAGAATGATGTAATCACTGCAACTGTAATGAAGCACGTTGCCATTGCCCAACTGTAATGAAGCACGTTGCCATTGCAAGAGCAGAAAGCAAGCTTTCTCAATTGCACTAAGGTGTTAACCGAGTACAAAAAGTGAGCGAACCATGAGCGAACATTTATACGCGAAACATGCAAACGGTAACGCGGTGCGTGCGAGCTAGCTAGTGCTAGGCTAGCATCGAGGTTCGGGCTAGTCCCGAAGTGTAGGCCGACTCAGCCGGGCCAGCGGTGCAAGGTTTGGTAAAACAGTGCGCGCGAAGTTGGCGAAGCCCCGTTAGCAGTAACAGGCAAACAACGGGTGCAGCTGTACGCGATGTTGACGGTCGCAGTAAGGAATGGAGAGAAAATTCCTAACTCCTAGGTGCATATGATTCGTTTTTCTGAGGTATACAGGTTGTGCTCATTATTCTTTTGACTGAATATGTGCTTATAGGTATTGGTTATGCGGTTCGCGGATCTGTGTCAGATGTCAGTCATTGCCACAAGATCCCAATTTGGCAGGCGGGGGCCAGTGGATCTGAGACATCTCAGCCAGCCCTCCCGAACCGCAGAGCTGTCTCGCCAGAAGCGCCAACCCCATTCACCATCCGAAAGCCCCGATTTCTCCACGCGCACGACCTGGTCGCTAGTGCCCCCCAGCATGTACAGCCCCCGTAGGTACAACCTAGAGCTCGGGTGGGTTACCATATCCCTTCCCTGGTCGCATTTCTTCTGCTGCGCAGATTTGAAATAGGTGGGAAGGTCAACAATGCCTGCGCATCTAAGCTGCTTCTGCGTGTTTGTTATTCAGCGTAGATCGCAAATCGCGATGCAGCTGTTGTGACGCACGGAGGGTGCTGTGCTCGTGTCGTCCATGGCCAAGCCCTGTCCACCAGCGGGGACGGCGGCCTCGTCAAGCGTGACATGGCGAGCCATCGCTGTGTCGTGCGCCACGCTGTGCCTGCTCGCGCACCTGCACCTCGTCGCCTGCCAGACTGCCACCGGCGGCGGCGGCGGCGGCGGCGGCAGCGCGTCGCTGAACTACACGGACGCGCTGGTGAAGTCGATCCTCTTCTTCGACGCGCAGCGGTCGGGTCGCATCAGCGGAGCCGGCGCGCGCATGCCGACGAGCGTCGCATGGCGCAACAACTCGGGCCTCGGGGACGGCGCGGCGCAGATGGTGAGAGCGGCGCTGCTCCCTCTGCTGCTGGGGCACTGTGATCGGCCCGCGATTGATTGAACCGTCTGTCGCACGTTAGCAGCCGGTCGCATCAGTCGCACCCTCAACATGCGTGAAATTGCCGCCGCACACCCGCCGACTGATCCTCGTCACAGCACCAGACCCCTTGCGCAGTGAACCCCTTTTCACATCAGACTTTCCTTCTCCCCCGCCCTCCCCACTCTCTTCGTTCCCCCCCAACCCCCCCCGCGCGCGCCCAGGTGGATCTGGAGGGCGGGTACTACGAGGGCGGCAGCAATGTCAAGTACGGGCTGCCCGCCGCATTCGCCACCACCATGCTCGCCTGGAGCCTAATCGACTTCCGCCGCCACCTCGAGGCGGCAGGCGGCGCCGCGCAGCTGACGGCGGCGCGCAACGCGCTGCGGTGGTCGACGGACTACCTGGTGAAGGCGCACACGGGGATGAACGAGCTGTGGGCGCAGGTGAGCGCGGGGAGCGGAATGGGAGAGAGGGAGGGGGGAGAAGAGGGGGGGAGTGGGGCGGGTTCGCCAACGACTGGTTGGCTTCAAGTCGCGAGTACAATGAGAGCGCTGTGTTGTTGTCTGAGCGGCACGCTCTGCCGGCCATGTATGGGCGCGCCTGGTGGAGGCAATACCTGGGGCTGCCCGCCATCATGATGGACCTGCACCGCCTCCCTGCCCCATCATCACCCCGCTACTCCCCCGTCCTCCCACGCGCGCGCCCCGCCAGGTGGGCGACCCGGTGGCGGAGAGCGCGTGCTGGCAGCGGCCGGAGGACATGAGCACGGCGCGCACGGCGTACCGCGTCAACGCCGACCACCCCGGCACCGACCTCGCCGCGGAAACCGCCGCCGCACTCGCTGCGGCGTCGCTGGCGCTGAGGCCCGTGGACGGCAGCTACGCCAGCACGCTGCTGGGCCACGCGGAACAGGTGACGCACGGCTGCTGCTGCCGCACTGCACCCACTCGCATCGCATCGCCATCTCTTCACGCTCGTTCTTTCTTCCTAAACGCGCGCCTTGTCCCCCCTCCCTCTCTCATTCCCCTTCCCTCCTCCCCCTCGCCGTACCCGTCCCCCTCTCCCTCCCCCCCCGCCCCCTCCGCGCAGCTGTTCGTGTTCGCGGACACGTACCGCGGCAGCTACAGCGACGCGGTGCCGCAGGCGAGGCGCTTCTCGACGAGCGGCGAGGGCAGCAGCTACCAGGACGAGCTGGCGTGGGCGGCGGTGTGGCTGCACCGCGCCACGGGGTACGGCGTGTACGTCGACTACCTCGTCGCCAACGACGCGTGGATAGGCGGCTCGGAGCAGCTGCAGCTGGAGATGAGCTGGCAGCACAAGCTGCCCGCCGTGCAAGTGCTCATCGCACAGGTCGCTCCCATGTCCCTTGCCCCTCCCTCCACTCCCGCCGCTTCCCTGCCCACTTGCGCCGTCTTCCTTCGTCTCTACGCACACTACGTTACCAACTGCTGTCACGGCCGGTTCTCCTACCCACATTCCATGCGCGCCCTCACCAACTGCGTGCTCCCCCCTCCGCGCGCGCAGATGATGCTGCAAGGCGGGCCCGCGGCGCTGTCGTCAAGCATGGCAACCACGGCGGTGCTGGAGGGGTACCGCGGCATGGCGGACCTCTTCGTGTGCGCGCACATGCCCGCCAACCCCCTGCGCGCCGTCTACACCACGCCCGCCGGGCTGCTGCACGTGCGCGCCAGCAACGCGCAGTTCGCGCTGGGCGCCGCGTTCCTGCTGACGCTGCACTCGGACTCACTCGCGGGCAGTGGGCAGGCCGTGCAGTGTGAAGGGGTGACGTTCACGCCGCCCGCCATCCTGGCCTTCGCACAGTCGCAGGTGACACATGCCCCGCGTCGCACAGTGGCGCCCATCTCCCATGCTAATCGCCACATGCACCTGACACGCTGTGCCGTTCGCACCGCCTCCCACTCCCGCCCGTGCGCTGCTGCTGCAACTGCCTGTGAGCGTCCCTCGTCTCCCTCCCCCTACCACTCGTGCACTGCTTCTGCTGGCATGGTGCACCCGGTGTAAGCATCCGGCTGAACGGACCTGTGTGCGCGCTGCTGTGGTGTGCAGGTGGACTACCTGCTGGGCAGCAACCCGCTCAACCTCTCCTTCATGGTGGGCTTTGGCTCCGCGTTCCCCCTGCGCGTGCACCACCGCGCGGCGTCCATCGTGTCATTCAACGTGAACAGCACGCAGGTGACGTGTGAGGGCGGCGTGGCGGACTGGCTCTACCGCGACGCGCCCAACCCCAACGTGCTCGTGGGCGCCATCGTGGGCGGGCCCGACGCCGTGAGTGCAAGCTTGGTGGAGGGTTGCTTGAGAGAAGCGCCCAGGTGTGGGCGGGGACCGGGGCAGGGGCAGGGGCAGGTTGGGGTGCTTCAGAGACCGGGGCAGTGGCAGTGGCAGGGGCAGGGGCAGTGGGAGGGGCAGGGGCAGGTTGGGTTGGGGTGCCGGGAATTGTGGCTAGGGCAATGAGCAGAGTGAGTGCGACGAGGTTGTTTGTGAGAGGCATCTGCGTGCTGCTGTTGCCTACCAACCGCGCACTCAAGGTCACCTCCGCTCTCGCCCTTGCCCTCTGCCTGCTCTCTACCCTCCCCTGCGTGCATGCCATGGCAGAGCGATGCCTTCCAGGACTCGCGGGTGCAGCCAGCGTTCACAGAGCCATCCGCATGCGCCAACGCACCCGCCGTCGGCCTCCTCGCCAGGCTCGCTGCTGGCACCCTGCCCCCCGCTCCCCCTCCTCCGCCCTTTCCCCCCGCACCCCCCTCCCCTCCTCCGCGCCCACCCGCCTCGCCCCCTCCTCTCTGTTCCGCGACCTCCTTGTTCTGCCCGTCGCCGCCTCCTGTCACTGTCACACCCTCATCGGGCGCCACAGTGGACCCAGCAGCGCTGGTGACGGTGGCGTGTGAGGTGACGGGCGGGTGGCAGCAGTACGGCGAGCAGCAGAGCCGCTGGTCGTGCCGGGTGGCCAACACGGGCAGCGCCTTCCCCGTGCGTGACTTGCGCCTGCGCTGCCATGACTTTGAGCCGTCACAGGCGTGGAACATGGACGCGCTGTCCTGCCAGCTGCCCTGGTGGGCCGCACAGCTGGGCCCCAACGAGGCCATCACCTTTGGCTTCGTGCAGTCCGCTGCTGTTGTCCCCGCCTTCACTGTCGACTCCCTCCTCTCGCTCGCCCCGCCTCCCCCACCCTTCCCCCCTCCCTCCCCGCCCACCCCGCCCAATCCTCCTCCCGGGCCTCCACCCAGACCTCCTCCCAGCCCTCCACTCAAGCCTCCTCCGAATCCTCCTCCTAGACCTCCCCCCAGGCCACCCCCTAACCCACCACCTTCACCCCCACCCCGCCCCCCATCCCCACCACCTGTGCCTCCGCCTAGCCCCCCATCGCCCCCTGGTCCACCCCCCTCTCCTCCGCCAAAGCCCTCATTCCCTCCCCCTCGACCCCCACCCTCTCCACCTCAGCCCTCTTCCCCTCCGCCTAAACCGCCGTCTCCTCCCCCAAAGCCCCCATCCCCTCCCCCCAGCCCCCCATCACCCCCCCCTAAGCCTCCATCCCCTCCTCCTCGGCCCCCCAGCCCTCCCCCAAAGCCCTCCCCCCCTCCAAAGCCCCCTCCGTCACCCCCGAAGCCCCCTTCCCCACCCCCACAGCCACCACCCCCACAAGCAACAAAGCCACCGCCCTCCCCTCCTCCTCGCCCCCCACCCAGTCCGCCTAAGCCTCCCCCAAGGCCCCCTCGCCCCCCTCCTAAACCCCCTCGCCCCCCACCTTTCCCACCCCCGCCACCCCCAAAGCTGTCAAGCGCCCAAGGGGGGGGCAGTCCGAAAGCACCAAAATCCGGTGAGGAGAAGATGAAGCCGCCTCCGAAGAAAGGCAAGAGGAAGAGCCCCCCCCCCCGCACAGCAACGCCACCAAGCACCCACCCCCGCCAAAAAGCAGCAAGCCCAAGAAAAGCACTCCACCAGGTGGCTCGAAGAAGGATGGAGCAAAGAGGAGGCGACCACCCCCTCCCCCTCCTCTCAAGAGCACTAGAATGAAGCAGAAGCTTCCCCCTCCACCATCACCATCTCCTGTGAAAAAGCCCCCTGGATAACTCCTCATCATCAACTTTCCTGGTCATGCCCAGAATTGAAGACCCTAACTTATTCTGAATTTCTCATTCATTCTAATGAATCCCCAAACCCACTGGCACAAAACGTACGGTACCTGTTACAAAACCGTGCAATTTTTAATCTCAAGGAAATTCAAGTGTCTTACCATCAAGTCACGTTCGGAAAACGCAAATGAGCTTATACCCTTTAACATTAAGGCTTCAATGTTAATGCTGTGACATACCATTCCTGCCATTCCTGCTTTCCTTGAAGCATGGTACTGCAAATCGTAACCAGCTATTGAGAACACCTGTACAAACTTTGGGGCAGGGCCCTTGTTGAAAGCCGATCTGGGCTCTCTGCAAGTACCGTAATCACCCGGACAAAACACCCCCCCGTAATAGTACACCCCCGGGTAGCTTGTGCGGGGGGGGTGCTATAGCCGACCTCGTTTGTACTATACCCCCCCTTTTGGGGTGATTCTCTATAACACCCCCTATTCTTACGAAACCCTATTATAGCTGTTATCGAGTCAGATTTTCTAAGGGAGGATATGACGAAAATGGCTTCCCGAATGAAATTTCGCGTGCACTTTCACTTCGAATCTACCGAGATTCCCTCCCTTCCACAATCTCGCTGTCGCCACGCTGGCGAATCTTCCGCTGCACGTGGCCCGAGAGGTGAAACTCACATTCTCGCCAAAACGCGAATTCTCGCCTCAACCTGTGATGTTAAAACGACTATTGAAACACCCAAATTGTCTAATTAAACTTTTTTCTTACACTAAAAAGTGCCATATATAACCACCCGGGTATTATATAGGATTTTCCGTTGAGAGCACCCCCCCCCCCCTTTTTCCCTGTGGTTATCATAATACCCCCGGGTGTTATGTCCGGGTGATTACGGTAAGCAGCTTTTGAATCTTGGTTAAAATGAAACCCCAGGATCTTGTGGAAATTTGGTCAATTGGGTATCGCTACATGTTCACGTCTTGTGTGTTAAAGTACCACAAAAACCTGGCAGTGGTTGATGCTGCATGCATTCATTGACGGGCACTTGTGTTACTGCGTGCTGCCCTAGCATACCCAGATGGCATTCACAAACAAAGTGCAGGCGTGTTGCATATGGTAGCATAGGATGTTAGTGTGGTACGGTACTCGAGTGTGGTAGCTTAGCGTGCAGCTTGCAAGGGGCAGGCAGGTGAAGCACGGCACAGGGAAGGCCACAAGGTGCAGATTGTAGTAGCGTAGGCCTTGGCAGCGGTGAGGTGAGGGGCATCAGGTGGTGGCATGGGAGAGAGTGCGATTGGCGTGCAGCAGGTGAGCATAGGCCGCCTGCAGGCGAGGCACGTCCGCCAGCCGCAGCTGCTCTCCCCACATGGCAGGCACGCACGTGGTGATGCGGGGGAGGGGGAGGGGATCGGATGACAATCAGACAGAGAAGCCGATTAATCGACATATGCATCGCAGGGACAGCCAGTGGCAAGGGGAGGGCATCAGAGCCACGTGGGAATCAGTAGGTCACCTGATTGGCTGATCGCAGGTGGTAGAACGCGTGCACAGGTGGGGGGCTGTTGTGTGCATCCATGGCTTCATGCCTGTTAGGCCAACACATGGGGATATGGATGGCGCGGGTCAATGGCAAGAATGACAAGGACGTCACTCATGCTGCACTCAAGTACTGGACCCTTCCAGTCAAATAGAGTCTACCATGCTACTGACCCATGTTAGCTAACGTGCAGTGGGTGCACGACTCAGCGGCGTGCCTCTCACCGGTGGGCGAGGGCAACGAGGCGGTGGTAGTCAGCCAGCATGGCCGCAATGTCTCGCGTGCGCAGCGCTGCCACCTCACTCCGCACCAGATGTGCCCGCGCCGCCTCCACCGCTGCTGCCTGTGCCACGCAGGGGGGGATGCATGTACAGAGCCCGACATTGCACCACGCACTGTCACCCACCATTAAAATGTGATTCACCTTGAACACACAGTGACTGAGGCTGGAAGAAGGAAGGGACGGAAGAGGGGGAGGCGAGAGGAAGGAAAGGGTGGATAGAAGAAACCAACGGACAAACCGGCAGAGTCCGGCCCATTGGCGAGGGGCGCAGGGTGTGCAGCATGACAGGTGGGTGAGAGCCACAGCATGGCGCTTAGGCCACCCGCACTCACCTTGCTGCTCACAACAGACGCACCGCCACCCACGCGCCCTGTGGCCTCTGCCTCCCCTCCACCCGCTCCTGCTCCTCCTCCCACGCCTCCCTGCTCCCTTGCCCCCTCGCTCTCTCCCGCCACTGCCCGGCCTGCCTCATCCTCCCCACCCACCCCCTCCAGCCCCACTGCAGCAGGCCCCTGCGTGCCTTGCCCATCATCACTCCCGCCCACACGGCTCATGCTCTCCCCAGCGTGCCCTTGCCCCGCCAGCGCCACGACGCGCCTGCCCAGGGCCACCAGCGCAGCATCGTCCACGGCAGGGCCCGCCAGGGGGAGCACGGGCAGGGAGGACGTGGGCGGGTGGGGAGCGGCGGAGGACGCGAGGGAGGGCGGCTTGAGGCCCGCCCTGCGATGCAAATCCGCCAGCTGGTGCAGTAGCTCCCTCTGCCGCGCACGAGATGAATGGAGGGGAGTGCGGGAGAGGTTGGAAGGGGAGGGAGGTAGGGCTGATGAGCAGCGAGGGAGGGGGGCATTGCGCGGTGACAGGCGAGATGATCCATATCAAACGGGCTGAACAACACTTGACACACAAACAGGTCATGACCCCTATCCATGCCCTTCCTCCTTCCCTCCGCCATGGTCAACTTGCACGCGTCCATGCAGAGCCTTGGAACCCAACCGCCATGAACCCGCCCTTCCCCATGCGCCATGGCGCACCTCCTCAGCGGCCTTGTTGAGTTCAGCGCCCACGGCGCCAGCAGCGTCCGCCACGACAGTAGCAGCGGCGGCAGCAGCGGAGGCAGCGGGCGCGAGGATCTGCGCCACCAGGCTGTCGTTGAACCGCCGCGCCGCCGACGCCGCCGCTGACGCTGCCGCTGCTGCTGCTGCGGACGAGGGCAGCAGGCCGAAGGTGGGCGCGGGCAC